TTCCACTTGAGTTGGAAATTATATATACATTCAATATACGTAATTTAGATAACAGTTTAATACTGTCCCAAAGAATAGCTGTGCAAAAGGTGCTTTGTAAACCTATATAATCATTCTGCAGAATTTACATTATGAAGCAAGTCAGAACAATTCAATATGAGGACAAAACTATCATTTACAGTATTTACTTCATTTTAGCCCTCCAATGACCATCAGACCTCTGATTCTGAAATTAGTTTCTGTTCTTGTTAGACAGGTTACATGAAACTTATAAAGCGTTTAGGTAAACTCTTCCTACTTTATATTATAAACAAGATCCATATTACGGTACAGAGAAGTTGCCATCAGCTAATTCATTTCTAAGAAACGTGGATAAAGTAATATTTCCCCCTAGGAGTAAGCAAAATATGGTTCTTCAGCATTTAATGAAATTTCCTCAAGGGGAGCTGGGACCTTAATAAAAGTAATATGTTAGGCCTCTTTCTAACAACTAGAACACAAATTGTCCCAGGTGCAACTGCAACAATTCCAGATACTTGTAGGTAACCCTGAGCATTTATCCCTGTCAACGACTGGGTTCATCTAGCATATTAAATCATTTTCTTTTTCAGGAAGCTATTATCTTGAGCTCAGGCAAAGTACTAGGATATAAACCTTGGCTTATAACTAGAGTGTCAGTTCTTGGGCAACAAGGCAGCATTTTTGCCATTGCCTTCTCCTAGGATGTTTTTTCAACTTCCTGATCTAACCTAGAAACTGGTGATTTCTCTACTTTTTTGAGACCAGTCAAAACTCTATATCAGAGTTCCCCAACCTTTCTAGGTTGGCAGCCTGGAGTGGGGAGGAGGGGATGGTTTTGTGGGAGAGGCAGGCGCGTATGCACGCAAGAGCATCCATTACTCACACAAGTGGGTCCACGAGTGCCCACGACGCTCACACGAGTGAGGCCCCAAACGCCCACAACACTCACCCAGTGGTGGGTTGCTCCCAGTTCACACCAGTTCGCAAGAACCGGTAGTAAAAATTTGTAGTAGTTTGGAGTACCGGTAATAGCATTGGCTGGCCATGCCCCCGAACCGGTCCCCAGCCCTGTCGCCGCTCACTTACCCCGCCGATCTCATCAGAGGCTTTTTTTTTTTACTTTTAAAAGCATTTTTTCTATAACCTCTTCAGCTGAAAAAATGCTTTTAAAAGTTAAAAAAAAAGCCTCTGATGATTGCATGGCTCAGCTAGGATCATCAGAGGCTTTTAAAAGCATCTGAAGAGGTTGTAGAAAAAATGCTTTTAAAAGTTAAAAAAAAAAAGTTGGCCACGCCCACCGTCATATTACCCCTACCAAGCCATGCCCATAAAATAAGCCACGCCCACAGAACCGGTAGTAAAAAAAATTAGAACCCACTCCTACACTCCCCTGAGTGGAGCCATGAGTTCCTGCTATGCTCATATGACTGGGGCTATGTGCACACTCACGTAGCCCAGTTGTGAATAGGCTGCGGCCCGGTAGTGGGCCACGGCCCGCAGGTTCGGGACAGGTCCGTTGCTGTACACAACTTGTGAAGTAAAATGAATCCGTGCCTGGTTTGGTTGGGCCTACTCAATGCAAAGATGCAATTTGTATAATTTTACAAATTTGAGCTATTGGTCTAATGTAGGAGGAGAATACAATAATTTATTTAAAAAGCCATTTTAAATAAATGCAACTATGTAAATATTTTGTAATAATGTAAATGTAAAAGATGTAAATAAATTAAATGCCATTAGATTATTAGAAAGCTTTATTTCTTATATATATTTATACACACATAAATATGAGAAGATTAAAAAAAAGGAAAAATGAGACTTTTTCTCTGCTAGTTGTTGCCAGCTGTAAAGGGTGGTACTCATCTCTATTTCAAGGCCATTGAGCCAGTGCTGTCTGAAGAAGTTTCCACAGTGATGTAGCCAGCATGACATCACAGAAAGCTGTTACCTTCCTATCGAAATGGTACCTATTTTTCTACTCACATTTGCATGCTTTCGAACTGCTAGGTTGGCAGGAACCAGGCCGAGGACAGGAGCTCACCCCATCATGTGGTGCTTTGGTCTCGAACCTGGGCTGCCAGCTTTCAAACCAACATCTTAACCTCTGTGTCACTGCGCCACTGTGGTGCCTGGTGGCGCAGTGGACTAAACTACTGTTAAAGTAGTATTTAGCTGCCAGCTGCCTGCAATTACTGCGAGTCCAATTCTCACCAGACTCAAGGTTGACTCAGCCTTCCATCCTTCCGAGGTAGGTAAAATGAGGACCCGGTTTGTGGGGGCAATAAGCTGACTTTGTATAAAATAGAACACCGCTTAGGGGGAGCCAAAAGCCCTACTAAGCAGGTATATACAAGAGTATGAAGGCTATTGTTTAAAAGCATTGTAAGCCGCCCTGAGTCTCCGGAGAAGGGCGGCATATAAATCAAACTAATAATAATAATAATAATAATAATAATAATAATATCTTACCAGCTTTCTAATAAGACCATAACATACAGGATTTGTGCTGGTGCTGAATAACCATCTACTCAAACCCATGCTCCAGAAAAGGATAAAGCTACAATGCATCTTGGTTCTTCTGCTCAATCCTAATTGAGAATTACATCTCTGCATTTCATTCAGCCGTTGGCAGATAGGTCATTAAACAGTTTTCACTTCATATGTTGTTGTTATTGTTGTTGTTAGTTGCGAAGTCGTGTCAGACCCATCGCAACCCAGTGGACAATGTTCCTCCAGGCATTCCTGTCTACCATCCTCTGGAGTCCATTTAAGCTCACGCCTACTGCTTCAGTGACTCCATCCAGCCACTTCATTCTGTCATTCCATTCTTCTTTTGCCCTCAATCGTTCCCAGCATTAGGTTCTTCTCCAGTGAGTCCTTCCTTCTCATTAGGTGGCCAAAGATTTGAGTTTCCTCTTCAGGATCTGGCCTCCTAAAGAGCAGTCAGGGTTGATCTCCTCTAGGACTGACCGGTTGGATCGCCTTGCAGTCCAAGGGACTCGCAGGAGTCTTCTCCAGCACCATATAATTCAAAGACCTCAATTCTTTGACGCTCAGCCTTTCTTATGGTCCAACTTTCACAGCCAGACATTGCAACTGGGAAAACCATATCCTTGACTATACACACTTTTGTTGGCAGGGTGATGTCTCTGCTTTTTAGTATGCTGTCTAGATTTGCCATAGCTTTCCTCCCCAGGAGCAAGCTTCTTTTAATTTCTTGGCTGCACTCCCCATCTCCAGTGATCTCACTTCATCTAGCTAATAATTAATAAAACTCTTCATTAATCCAAATTAGGATTCAGAAGGGTCCCTGCCTTGGAACTACTGGGAACATTTACAATATGAATAGTCATAGTCATGGAAAAACTGTCGCTTGTGGTTTGCAAAATATGTGCCATGTATGTATTCATACCCGTAGAAGACGCTAATTATATATGTAACAAATGCAAACTAATATCAAGAGACTAAGAGCAACTAGGTATGAATGCCACAGAGATGGGAGCACAGGTAGTGTTTTCATTTGTATACCCAACAAAAAGTAGGCAATTAATGAGGGAACACAGAGCTTTTGAAGTAAACCACTGGTTTAGGAGTTGATGCCATCTAGATAATTCTGGATTCCTACAATACCTGCCTGGGGGTCTTCCGGCAGGGGATGGGCTATAAACTAATGCTCAGAGTATGCGGAAGAAACAGTGAACTTGAATCCTACTACACAAAGGCAAGTGATTGCTATCACAGAAACTTGGTAGGATAAAACACTGAGTGGCGTAGGAGGCTAATGCCTCCTAAGGCAGCATTTAACATCCAGCTGCCTGCAATTACTGCGAGTTCAATTCTCACCAGGCTCAAGGTTGACTCAGACTTCCATCCTTTCTAAGGTGGGTATATTGAGGACCCAGTTTGTGGGGGCAATAAGCTGACTTTGTATAAATATACAAAAGTATGACGGCTATTGCTTAACGCATTGTAAGCCGCCCTCAGTCTCCGGAGAAAGGCGGCATATAAATCAAATTTAAAAAAAAAACCATGCCTGGAATGTACAATACACCTAGAAGGATTTAAAATGTTCAAAAGAAACACACCTAACAAGAGGAGGTGGAGTTGCATTATATATAAGCGATAACTACACCACTACAGAAATGCAAAAAGAAAAAAAAAGGTATAAGGGTGAATACCTTATGGAATACAATCAGGTTTATTTATTTATTTTATTTTATTTTATTAAATTTGTATACCGCCCTACTCCCGAAGGACTCAGGGCGGTAAACAGCCATAAAATAAAACATGTGGATACAAAATTTAAAATAGAGATAAAACTAATTAAATAAATTTGGCTGAGACATTTTAAAACCCCAATAAATTAAAACCAAATTTAAAATTCCATTTAAAAGAGGAAAAGTTTAGGTCAGGCCAGCTTGATGGAATAAAAACGTCTTAAGCGCGCGACGGAAGGTACGCAGATCCGGAATCCTCCGTATCTCCGGGGGGAGCTCGTTCCAGATCGTAGGTGCCCCCACAGAGAAGGCTCTCCCCCTGGGGGCCGCCAGTCGACATTGTTTGGCCGACGGCACCCGGAGGAGCCCCTCTCTATGGGAGCGTACTGGTCGGTGGGAGGCTATTGGTGGCAGCAGGCGGTCCCGTAAATAATGGTTAATGGAAAAGGAAAAGGAAGGACATTGCTATAGGTGAAAACCACAAACTACCCAACCAACCAAAGGAAATATAAAAACATCACGTGCTGGCCATGCCTATGCCAGGTTTAGCAAAGGGGGGGGGGGAAAGTCGCAATACATCACGTGACGTGACTCTGCCGTGATGACGTGACTTTGACACCCCTGCTCTAGCCCAGGGTTTAGGCAATGATGCTTTTGTTAAAACAGATTCTAAGTCTTCCTTTAATGTGCTGTTTTCCTGGCTTTTTTTGAAATGGTACATTTTGCAAAGTCAACTTTCATTCCGTTGTGCCTTCATTTCAGGAGCCATAATGGAAGTGGTTTCATCCTGGATCCCAGCTATTGGCTTCACAATCTTGCCTAATATAGGGGGCTTTTTGACAGCCTCAATAGTCAGGAGGGAAATGAAGTGGTACCGATCCTTGAAACTGCCACCCTGGCGTCCACCAAACTGGCTGTTTGGACCTGTGTGGGGAATTTTATATACATCAATGGGGTAAGCATTTTCTTTGTATGGTTAATTACAGGCCAATTTGTCTGTTATGGCGAATCTCTAAAAATTCTGCCCATGTGGTTAACTGATATCAGCCCAGGGAGTAAAAGTAGCCAGCTTTTAACTGAAATTGAGGTCATTTGAAGCTGTTGCTGTTCATTTAATTACTCAATTAAACAAATTTGTAGGTCAGCCTAGTCGTCACTCTAATCTAGGAGACTCACCAAGGGCTAAATTAACACTCAAGGAGAAAACAAGTAATTACAAGCGACAATACCAAATTCTCACATTGGGGAAGTGTGGCATCCTGAATAGTTTGGAGTCAGATGTTTGTCAACAAATTTTCCTCCCATGTTTTCTTGCCCAGATGCTTAGGAGACCCAAATGACAGGTTGTTTGGGTCACAGCAGTGGTGGGTTGCCCCCGGTTCGCACCAGTTCTATAGAACCGGTAGTAAAATCGGCGGGAGGCCCCGCCCACCAACCAGGGGTGGGTTCTACTTACCTTTACTACCGGTTTGTAATGGGGCCGCGCATGTGCAGAAGCGTTTTCATGACGTCAGGGTCAGTGGGCAGGAGCCTTCCGCCAGTTTTACTACTATAGAATCGGTGCGAACCGGGGGCAACCCACCACTGCCAGCGACCCCGATGTCATCAAAACGCTTCTGCGCATGCACAAAAGAGTGCGCGCACGGCCCTGCTGCAAACCGGTACTAAAGGTAAGTAGAACCCACCCCTGGGTCACAGGATGCCTCATCCCAAGAAGGACTCACTTTGAACTTCTTTTCAGTGCCAGGCATTTTTGGTTTTAGTTCCCCTTAAAACCTTTTGCATCATTATTGCTTTCTGTTGCCTCTTTATTCCGATTTTAATTTTCAAATTTTAAGGATTGCTACTATGTTTTGTTTCATTTTTTTCCCCACTTCATTTTTGGGTAAGCCCTATCACAGGTCCTTCCTTTAACTCAGATGCAAATTATTTCTTTACTTAAATTATTTCTTTTGAGATAAACTCAGGAGGATTGAAGAATGGAAGTACAGTGTATGAGGGGTGGACTTCAAAAATTTTAAAAGGGGTTCTCTGCCTGGTTGCTGGGTGGGTGTGGCCTAGTCGGACTCCTGCACCATGGTGGGGGGAGGTGTTTTTTCCTTCCCTGGGCTCTGGAGGCTTTCCTTGAGCCTCCGGGAGGGCAAAAATGGCCTCCCCAGGCTCCGGAGGCCAGAAACAGGTCCATTTCCGGCCTTCCCGAACTTCCGGTAGGCCTATTTTTCACCCTCCCCGAGCCTCCGTGCGTGCCCTGCACTTACCTGCATCCAAAATGGGCCATGTGGGGACTCCTGGGAGGAGCAGGGAGGGCAGGGCGGGGCAATCCAGGAATGGGATTTGGTGGTTCTCCGAACTGCACAGAATCTTAGCTAGAGGTTCTCCCGAACCCCTGCAAACCCACAGCAGCCCATCCCTGGTTACAACCCAACTCTTGCTGATTTAATGGATATATCCAAGCTGCTTGCTTGGATGTTTTGTGGCAGTCTAGTCTAAAGTCCTGGGATTTCCTGCTACAGTAATCTCCCATTCAAGTATTAACCAAGAACCCCTGAATGCTAGGAGTTTCAAGAAGGGTTTTTTTTGTCAATCCTAAAAATTTTAGGGTTTCAAATTGGAACAGAGGAAAGATTTCTTCATTTCTTAAAATGGTTGCTTCTGTTTTAGAATGCATCTTCCAGCACCATCTGAAGGGGGGGAGAATCTGAAATAGTGTCATCTAAAAGAGAATTAATTTCATTATTTTTTAGATAGGATATCTCCCTTTACTGTACTTGTAGAAGATTAATTCCATGTCAACATCTAATAAAGGATTAAATACATGCATCAAGGCCACATTTTAGAGGACATCCTTCCCGGTTCAAAATGCTCTTTCTATTTTTCAGTTTCTATATTTAGCCGAAATCGTAGATTTTTTATTTATTTTTTTTTGCTTTAATTTATATGCCGCCCTTCTCCGGAGACTCAGGGCGGCTTACAATGCGTTAAGCAATAGCTTTCATACTTTTGTATATTTATACAAAGTCAGCTTATTGCCCCCACAATCCGGGTCCTCATTTTACCTACCTTTGAAAGGATGGAAGACTGAGTCAACCTTGAGCCTGGTGAGGTTTGAACTTGCAGTAATTGCAAGCAGCAGAAGTTAATAACAGTGCTTTAGTCCACTTAACCAATGCACTTCTCACCCTACCCAAGTTAAACCCTGGCTCAGCTGACAGCTGACAGCATCTAGCTGACTTACAGTATATTCATTTGGAATATACGTCAAAGAGATATTTTCATTTTTTGTCTATAGCTCATTAGAAAAATACTGATACCATATTTCTTCTCCACAATTACAATCTCCAAACTCAATTCTGCTTCCGCCAACCTAGCAGTTCGAAAGCACGCAAAAAGTGCAAGTAGAAAAATAGAGACCACATTTGGTGGGAAAGTAGCAGCGTTCCGTGCGCCTTTGGCGTTGAGTCATGCCGGCCATATGACTACGGAGACGTCTTCGGACAGCGCTGGCTCTTCGGCTTTGAAACGAAGATGAGCACCATCCCCTAGAGTCGGGAATGACTAGCACATATCTGCGAGGGGAACCTTTACCTTTACCTTTATACAAGTAGTCCTTCACTTACAACCACAATTGAGCCCAAAGTTTTTGTTGTTAAACGAGACATTTGTTAAGTGAGTGTTACCCCATTTTGTGACCTTTCTTGCCACAGTTGTTAAGTGAATGACTCCAGTTGATAAGTTATTAATACATCTCCTTAGAAAACTCTTTATTTTTGTTTGCACACTGTTACCCCATAAGGAGAATTCCCTGTAGAAATAGTCAGTGCTCTCATGACGACGTTTGCTTAGAGACTGTGGCATTCATTTAACAACCACCATGTCACTAAACAACAACTGCAAAAAAGTAAAATCAAGCATGGTCACCCATTAACGATTGGCATGACTTAACAATTGTAATTCGAGGCTCAATTCTGGTCATTAGTTGAGGACTATGTCTAAAGGCCCTGGGTACAATCCCAAAACATTTGGAGCACCATTTGAACAGATCAGCATTGACAAAATCATCAGTCAATTGCAAAAGGCAGCTTTACTTGGAACCGCTTATATCCTGCAACAGCATCTATAATAATACCCATCAAACAGCAACATCTACCTATCACAGGGCAAGTACGGACTCAATAAATGGATGGAACTGTCAAATCCAATCTAAATGTCTGGTTGACTTGACTGTGCAACCAACAATAATAATAATTATGAAATATACGTGCACATATGTACGAGGGGAACCTTTACCTTTTTTAAAAAAGACTCACAAGATGTGATGCATAATTAAATATAAGATCTAAATGGATGAATATTCACATATTAAGCTTTTCTTTGCCCTCACTGAGTAAATTGTTTGCATTTGGGGGTCAAGAGTGACTTTCAGTCTTACGGCTTCCTTTCCCCTCACCCTGAATGTCCCTGCCCTCCAGGCATGATGCAATCTTCGGTTTAAGATTGAAGGAGAAGGTAAGGTTTTCGTCCAAGTTAAACCCTGGCTCAGCTGACAGCATCTAGCTGACTTAGACTGATCTCAACCATCTTAAGAAGGGCTAGTCTCATATAATATTCGATGGAAAACTACTAAGATAGACTGGGAGGTTGTGGGAAATGAGTTTCATATGGCTGTCTGGACAGGTTTCTGCAAGGACCAGTTGAGTTTGATTTGAGGGTGCCTTTGATCTTAGCTGATCTTGAAAAAATAATCATGCTGGGGCTTAATTAGTAGTTAACTGCAAAATCAAAGGAATTCCGGGGCTTAGATTCCATAGAGAGCCCCAGGAAAGCGCCATGTCCCTGATTAGCGTGGTTATTATGCAAATTGCAAGACTACTGTATATGCAGGAACAGAATTGAGTTTGAAGATTGTGATTGTGGAGAGGAAATACGATACCAGTATTTTTCTAATGAGTTGTAGACAAAAAAATGAAAATCTCTCTTTGACATATAGTCCAAATGATTTCAGTATTGTAAATGCACAGATTTAAACTGCAAGTTTGTTGTTGGTCTTAAAAAATCCCCATGTCTGGTTTATTTTCTGACTGTATCTTCCATCCTTATAGATATGGATCTTACTTAGTATGGAGGGACTTGGGAGGTTTCAATGAAAAGTCCTTTGTTCCTCTGGGACTGTACGTGGGGCAATTAGCCTTAAACTGGTCATGGACTCCTACCTTCTTTGGACAACACAGAATAGGACTGGTAAGTTATGTAAATATATGCACACTGTACTTCTCATTTGGCTCAGAAGCCTTGAGTTCTGCGGGTGGGTTTTCAGGACAAATACAACATACAGCAATTTATGTGTGCCATAATAACTACTATTTATTGCAGAGCTTGAGAAAACTGAGTTTCCATTCATTCATTCATTCATTCATTTATAATTAGATAGATAAATAAATAAATAGAGGGCCTCCTCAGGGTGCTGTCGGCCAGACAATGTCGGCTGGCGATCCCCAGGGGGAGAGCCTTCTCTGTGGCGGCACCTGCCCTCTGGAATGACCTACCCCCAGATATACGCACGATACCAGACCTCCGGACTTTTCGTCGGGCCCTGAAAACACATCTATTTCACCTAGCCGGGCTGGCCTGACCCCATCCTTGCGGTTTTAAATTTGTAATTGGTTTTAACTGGGTTATTTTAAATTGATGGCCAAAACTATTTAATGTTTTTAAGTTGCTTTTAAATTTTATATGTTGTGTTTTTACCGTGGCTGTTCACCGCCCTGAGTCCTGTTGGAGAAGGGCGGAATACAAATTAAATAAATAAATAAATAAATAAATAAATAAATAAACAAACCTACCTACCTACCTACCTACCTACCTTCTGGACCCTCAGTCAATTTTTTTCAAATGCTACTAATAATGCCAAATATGTTCTGAATACTAAGGAATGGTTATGGCAGTGATGGCGAACCTTTTCGGCACCAAGTACCCAAACTGGAATGCACATGCATGCCGGAGCCCCGGAAACTCGAAGACCAGCTGGCCGGTGCATATGTGCACGCCGGCCACCTGGTTTTTGGATTTCTGGCGCACGGATGTGCACTGGCCAGCTGGTCTTCGGGTTTTTGGGGGTCTGGCACATGCGAAGATCAGCTGGTCAGTGTGCACGCAGACCACAAACCAAAATAGCAGCTGGCCACGGCACATGTGCCCGCAGAGAGGACTGTGAGTGCCACCTCTGGCACATGTGCCATAGGTTCGTCATCACGGGGTTATGGAAAACCCGACTTTTAAAATAAGTTGTCTTGTCTACCATAGTCATGCCTAAACAATCTTTAGGCTTCCCAAAAGTTACAGTCAGCCAACCAGGTAGATTCCACATTCATGCAATATGCAGGTAGGATTTTTTTTTTTTTAAATGTCTTGTCCTGTTTTTCTTAGGGAAAAAACAATAGAACATTTGAACTAGGGTATTTGCTCAAAAAGTGTGCAATAAATGGTCGTGGGCTACTTCGATAAATTAACCCAAGGGACAACCTTGGAAGGTTAAGGTTAAGGTTAAGGTTTATTAAATTTGTATACTGCCCTTCTCCCAAAGGACTCAGGGTGGTGAACAGCCAAAATTAAAATACATACAGTACAAAAATTAAAATAAATTAAAACAGGTTGCTAGCTATAGTATAGCTTTTAGGATTTAGGATCATAAAGGGAACCAGTAAAGGAAAATATTTGTAACTCAGGGTTGAATCGAGGGCAGTGGTGGGATTCAGCCGGTTCGCACCACTTTGGGAGAACCAGTTGTTAATTTTGGAGCAGTTTGGTGAACGGATTGTTGGAAGAAATCATTAGGGCAAAGAACCGGTTATTAAATTATATGAATCCCACCACTGATCGAGGGGTCCTTGGTGCTGAGTTTGGTTGCAGATTTTTTATTACCCAAACTAGGTAACATCATCAGTGCTAGTCCTGATAATGTTACCTGATTTGAGTAATGAAACGTCCACAAGAAAACCACCAAGCTCAGAGAGCACCAAGGATCCCTCATAAGGGGAAGTCTGACATCTGTGGTGAAATGCTATTAGTCAGGTACTTAAAGGAACCTCCATATTCAGAGAATTCCTATTTACATAAAGTAACAAGATATTTTGGTTAGAAATATCAACCATTTGACTGGTAGAAATACAACGTTGACTACCTTGTTTTGGGGAAGGGAGGAGGCTTGAAGGTATTCTTTCCATCTTCAGGATGACCCCAGCCCTCTGGATGTCAGCCTTCTGATAGAAGTGGTTGCATTGGTAACAGCCTTCTGGATGCCACTTAAAACCACTATTATTCCTGTAGGCATTTGTTTGTTGTATGTTATCATTGTTGACCAATAAGAATCACAAAGGGACGTGGTGGCTCAGTGGCTAAGACGCTGAGCTTGTCGATTGAAAGGTCAGACGTTCAGCGGTTTGAATCCCTAGTGCCGCGTAATGGGGTGAGCTCCCGTTACTACCACAGCAGCTGAGACACATGTTGGGACTGCTGTTGAAGAGAAGCAGCTGGGCATGCAGAACTGTGCATTCAGTACAGATTTTGAACCAGCTACACAAATCCTGCAAAGTCCTACAAAAAGCTACAGATCAACCAAGCCTGACATCAATACCTGGGAAGATTTTAGAAAAGATAATCAAGCAACAAATCTGCGAACACCTAGAAGCAAATAAAGTTATAATCGGAAGCCAACATGGCTTCATCGAAAACAGATTGGGCCAAACAAATCTTATTTCATTCTTTGACCCAGTGAATCAGAGAATTAGTGGATCAGAAAAATGCTGTGGACATAGTATACTTAGATTTCAGTAAGGCATTTGACAAAGAAGACCACAATCTACTTCTTGGAAAGCTAGAAAAATGTGGGATAGACAGCATCCAGATGGATTTGTAACTGGCTGACAAACCGTACTCAATGTGTAGTTCTTGATCTAAATCCACATGGATGCGGGTGGGCAGTGGGGTACTCCAGGGTTCCGTGTTAGGTTTAGTACTCTTCAATATCTTCATAAATGATTTAGATGAAGGAATAGAAGGGGAACTTATTCAAACTGCAGATGACACTAAGCTAGTAGAAATAGCAAACACCTCAGAAGATAGGCTCAAGATCCAGAAGGATCTCGACAGACTTGAACACTGGACCTTAACTAACAAAATGAAATTCAGTGTGCATATAAGAAAGTTTTTGATGGATGCTTATCCTACGGTTGGGTAGGTAATATATAGAAAACTATGTTCTGTAACTTTAACTGCTACAAAGATGACTAATTGGCTGTGCTAAGCAGACGTAAAAGAAGGCAGGAAGTTCATTCACTTCTGCTCCTGCTATTAGAAGGTTGAACTGCTGAAAGGAACTGTGTCTGTGTTACTGAAGAGAACTGGAATTGTAAGCAAACTATGTTTTTGTGTTGAACCGTGATTATTTGAAGAAGTGTTATCTTTGTTTTGAGAAGCCAAGTTTGTTTTACCACAAGTAAAGGCTGTTTATTTTTCTTTAAACGTTCAGAGTCTGTGAGTATCTGTGTGTTTTGCTAAGCAACGTATCTATTCGCTGTCTGGTCCGTTGCACCACTTTGCAGAGGGCAGTTTTACCTTCAACACTTTTTACACTTAGGCAAGAAAAAAAAATTGTACAGGTGCAAACTGGGTGAAACCTGGCTCAATAGTAGTAACTGTGAGAGAGGGATCTTGGGAGTTCTAGTGGACAATCACTTAACTATGAGCCAACAGTGTGCGACAGCAGCCAAAAAAGCCAATGCAATCCTAGACTGCATCAAAAGAGGGAATAGTATCAAGAGTACATGAAGTTTCAGTACCAATTTACAAAGTCTTAGTAAAACCATACTTGGAACACTGCATCCAGTTTTGGTAACCACGATATAAAAAAGATGTTGAGACACTGGAAAAGAGTGCAGAGAAGAGCAAGAAGGATGACTGTTCAATTCTTTGGTTGCTTCCAGATTTTACACCCTCTTGCCTCATTGACACATCTTTTGTGGGTCTCTAGGAGCTCAAAGCAGCATAGCCAACACTGCCTTTTCCATTCTTTCCCACAACCATTCTGGGATTGAGTTGAGAGAGAATGAGTGAGTGACCAAAGTCCCCAATTAGCCTCTCTGGGACGAGCCCAAATCCCTCCCTATCATCTCCCACTGGCTTTTACTTGAATTGGCCGCTGTCTCAGCTCCCCTTGTCCCAACTATGTCCATCCATTGGGGAAGCCCGTAGTGATCAGGGTAATGCCACCTGCTAGGAGAGAATGGTGACAAGACAAATATAGCACTGTTCTTTCTTACTTTTAATTCACTACATTTTTATTTTTCTGTTTCAGGCACTGGTCGTTCTAATTCTTACTACAGGAGCAGCAACAGCTACAACAGTGGCTTGGTGTCATGTGAACAAAGCTGCAGCATGTTTGATGTATCCATACATAGCTTGGGTAGCGTTTGCCTCTCTGCTCAATTACCGCATCTGGAGGGATAACCGTGATAAGAAAAACTAGGGAAAGTTTGTTATTTTTAAAAAAGGAGCACAATTAAAGTTCCACCATCATTAACTGGCCGTTATAATTCCACTCTCTTATTGTTGTCTTAGTAGTTCATGTTAATAGAGATTTGGGGAATAAAAAAGGGGAAACTGAGTCTGTGTCTGTGCCTGTAATCAAGCTGATAGTAAGTCTGCAGAGGTTTTTATATGAGCAGGTGGTGACCCCCATGGCACTTTGGAGGTGTCTCACTCCCCTTGAGACTGGTTGGCATAGGCAAGTCCAACTGCCACTGGCTTACTTATTGCAAGATGGTTCATAGCAGGGGTGGATTCTACTTACCTTTACTACCAGTTCGCAATGGGGCCGCCCGCCCTCTCCAGGTTTAAGAGGCTCCGGTGGAGGATGAAAATGGCCTCCCCTGGCCCTCCGGAGGCCCTCCAGAGGCCGGAAACGGCCCGTTTCCGTACTTCCAGTACTTCCAGGAGGCCCATTTTTTGCCTTCCACAGGCTCTGGAGGCTTTCCTGGAGCCTCCGGGAGGGCGAAAACAGCCTCCCCCAGACCTCCAGAGGCTGGAAACAGCCTGTTTCTGGACTTCCGGTAGGTCCATTTTTCACCTTCCCAGAGCCTCCGTGCGAGCCTGTACTTATCTGGCATCCAAAACAGGCTACATGGAGACTCTTGGGAGTGGGGCAGCATGGGCATGCACGTGCATCTCCTACATGTGTGGCAGAGACCTGAAAATCAGCTGCCTGCAGAAATGGCTCGGCGTACCACCTGTGGCACACGTGCCATCAGTTTGCCATCACGGCCCTACAGGAAGTCTGTGAGACGGGTCAGTGCAGGGGTGAAATGCTACTGGTTTGGACCAGTTCGGCTGAACCAGTAGTGATGGCGGCGAGTGGTTCAGAGAACTGGTAGTGACGGCAGCACGAGGCTCTGCCCACTAGCCCGGTTGTCATTACTTCCTGGTTTTAACCAGGAAGTAACCTGTTTTTTACCCTCTGCGCATGCACAGAAGGGTTTGCGCATGCACAGAGGATCGCATGTGCACGTGATGCGTGCGTGCACTTCTGAACTTGTAAGGAAGGTAAGTAGATTTCATCCCTGGGTCAGCGGCTTCTCCTTCCTGAAGATGAACTTCAGAAAAGGTAAATGGACTGAAGCGTGACCAGAGGGGAGGGTGTGAGGAGAAGTCCAAGGATGTGTACACAACAATTTGGGAGGCAAAGCACAGAAAATCTCATGGGTCGGGTCTGATTTTCATTGATTGACTGATTGATTACATTTTAGTGCATGTATTAGCTATAAAACAGCATAGTAACTTTACTAAACATAGTGTTATGTTATTGTAACAATGCAAGATTTTGAGTTCAACGGTTTGGACTGATAGGTTAATGAATGTTGCAGGACCGATTTCTGTCCCAAGAGTATTCAAATAAATGTGACAGATTAGCAAACTGGAAAAAGAAAGATAAGAAAGTGGGCAGCAATATTAGATAAAGTCAATACATTTCAGTAATTATTATTATTATTGTTGGTTGCACAGTCAAGTCAACCAGACATTTAGATTGGATTTGACATTTCCATCCATTTATTGAGTCCGTACTCGCCCTGTGATAGGTAGACGTTGCTGTTTGATGGGTATTATTATAGATGCTGTTGCAGGATATAAGCGGCTCCAAGTAAAGCTGCCTTTTGCAATTTACTGATGGTTTTGTCAATGCTGATCTGTTCAAATGGTGCTCCAGATGTTTTGGGATTGCACCCAGGGCCTTTAGACATAGTCCTCAACTAATGACCAGAATTGAGCCTCGAATTACAATTGTTAAGTCATGCCAATCGTTAATGGGTGCTCATGCTTGATTTTACTTTTTTGCAGTAGTTGTTTAGTGACATGGTGGTTGTTAAATGAATGCCAGTCTCTAAGCAAATGTCGTCATGAGAGCACTGACTATTTCTACAAGGAATTCTCCTTATAGAGTAACAGTGTGCAAACAAAAATCATGAGTTTTCTAAGGCGATGTAAACAATTCATCTGATTTATCAAAACTACAAAATACAGATGGTTCCATTTTAAGGATCTGAGCTTCATGCTGCATGATTCAAGTGATACATCCAGTCCAGGTTGTTTCGAACACCTAGGAAAGTTAAACGACAACTCTCTCTTTGGTAAAGGTGCCCAATATATGCCAGCTGTCACAAACTGTTCGAAGCCAAGATGTTGGCACAGCTCCTATAGGAGCTCAGTTAAACCCAGACACCAATTATGATAAATTAAACAGGATCTAAACCATCTTCTTCGGAAAGTTATTCCGAGTGGTGAAATGTGTGCCCTGAACAGAAGAAATAATTCTGCATTCAGGTTCTTTTGGGGAAAAAAAAAGATCCTAAAATAATTCCGATTATTTTAAAGGATTTGTGCTTTACCAATTGCAAAGCAGACCAAACATGATAACAGGTCTTTTTTTTAAAACTCCCCAAAATAGTCCTGAAACAACTGTAAAGAACATGAAAAGGACTGGCTCTTACTGGCATTAATTAAAAGCTGATGGGTAGACATGCATATATTTAATATTTCAAAATATTTTTTAAAAAATGATTGGCATGGTAACTGAGCTATGGTTTGAATCTTTCATCCTAATGGAAACATCCCAAAGAAACATCTGTGGTACAAAGAACCACCTCTGGCTTTTCCTACCTCATCTTTGTCTTGAAATTCAAATGTTGGATGTGACATCAAAGTCAAACTATTCATACTTTGCTGATAATTGTTTATTAAAAAAAATTGAAATATCACTGGTCATACGAGCCAGCTGAAGCTTTTGAAATGATTGTTCCATATTATTATTATTTAAGCAAAGCATCCTAAAGGGAGTAGGTGAGAACATAATCCTGTTGGATAAAATAACGGCTTCAATGACATCAAATGCAGTGTATCAAGAAAGTAAAGCAGGCTGAAAAACGCTATACAGATACACTTCCATAGAAAAAATTAAAAACATGCTAATTATAGCAAAAAGAGAAAAAAGAAAGAAAAGAAAAGAAAAAAAGAAATCGATTTGCTACTAAATCTCCGTGATCTTCAACATATATAAAAGCATACTTTGTTTGACAAATTCAGCAGACTGATGCGAATCTGATCAAAAGCAAAACTACTTCTTGCATGTAAATTACGCATATCTTCTATATGACACAAGGGACATTTTGTTCTGACAGATGCTATAGGAAAAAATATTTGCACAAAGCAGCTCATAGAACTGAAATATACCATTCTTCAATACCAAATGATGCTATGTGGACCTAAACAATAGACGTCACATGGCAGTTGTTGGGCTCGTCCAAAAACAGAGTGCAGAAAACATCGTTGAAGAATGATGGATGGTATTTGCATGCTCTCTCACAATCAGGGTTGAAATTCACCTCTAGAATCTGGGGCAGCATGTGTTGCTTTGCTAGAAGACAGAGAAGTACAAAAATACCAGGTGAACTATAAAAAAAAAAAAAAAAAGGAAAAGGAAAAGCAAGCAGAAACGGCCCAGTTGCCAGAAGATGAAGCTTTCCTGTGCAATTCACTGAGGAAGGAAGGCCCCCAATCGATTTTCCTCCAGGCCCTCCTCTCCTCTCAGCACTGTAAAAGGAATCCTTTCCCCTCCATTCCACTTTTCCTAGAACAGAAAATGCCTTTCCCTAAATTGCAATAACTCACGGGTGTCAAACTCGCTGCATCAGGTTGCCGTCACATGAAGTTTCGCAACTTTTTTCCCATTTGTGGAGCTGGGGTAGGTGTGGCCTGTGCGTGATCATCCAGGCAGTGTTGTGGCCCACCAGTGGCCAGCACAGCTGGCAGCAGACTCAGACATTGAGAAGGTTGGGTAGGAACGTGGGCCCCTGGGCCGCCAGTTTGATCCCCCTGCAATAGCCCTAATATTTAACACCACAATGGCTACTTCAATGATTCATGTTACAGGTAGTCCTCCACTTACAACAGTTTGTTTAGTGACCATTCAAAGTTACACCGGCACTGAAAAACGTGACTTATGACCGTTTTTCACAGAGATTTTATTTTTATTTTATTTTACTTCAAATTTATATACTGTCCTTCTCCTTAGGGACTCAGGGCGGTGTACAGCCAAGTAAAAACACATAAACACATAATACATAATACACAGATTAAGAACAGATTAAAAGGAAATATCTCAATTTGGCCCAAAATTTAAAAAGACAAACGAATTTAAAATCATTTAAAATCATTTAAATGGCCTTTGCAGAATCCCCATGGTCATGTGATCAAAATTCAGACGCTTGGCAACTGGTTCATATTGATGACCCCAAGGTCACGTGATCACCTTTTGCGACTTTCTGACAAGCAATGTCAATGGAGAAGCCAGATTCATTTAACAACTGGGTTAATAACTTATCAACTGGAGTGATTCACTTAACAACTGTGGCAAGAAAGGTCACAAAATGGGGTAACACTCACTTAACAAATGTCTCATTTAACAACAAAAACTTTGGGCTCAATTGTGGTTGTAAGTGAAGGACTACCTGTATAAAGATAAAGGTAAAGGTTCCCCTCGCAGATACGTGCTAGTCGTTCCTGACTCTAGGGGGCGGTGCTCATCTCCGTTTCAAAGCCAAAGAGTCAGCGCTGTCCGAAGACGTCTCCGTGGTCATGTGGCCGGCATGACTAAACGCCAAAGGCGCATGGAATGCTGTTACCTTCCCACCACAGGTCGTCCCTATTTTTCTACTTCATTTTTTACGTGGCAGAAGCTGGGACAAGTAACGGGAGCTCACCCCGTTACACGGCACTAGGAATTTGAACCGCTGAACTGCCAACCTTTCAATCGACAAGCGCAGCTTCTTAGCCACTGAGCCACAACGTCCCTTTTGACTACCTGTATAGGAAGGCTAGTTAAGAAGAAGGAATTTCTCTGACATCTTAGAAAATAGCTGTTAGAAGTGCTTTAAGCTTGAAATACCAACCCAGGGCTCAAATTTGAAACACTTCTACATCCACAGTGCCAGTCATTTGGGGTGCCTAAGAGAAAGGGTGGACAGTCCCTGCAGTCCCTTTTCAATGCAGCAATGAAGGTCAATGAAAACACTATTCCTGCATGCAATCTTTTACACCCGTTTTAGCTCAGTTTAA